TAAAATATACCCCACATGTAGATTTTTTACTAAGAATTTATAGAAATAATCACTCACCTTCTCTTTCCAAGTTGTGGCATCTGTTTTCTTACATTCGATAATATTCTTATGAGAAATAATTATATCCACAAGCGTATGACAATCAGCTTCTGAATATATTATTCTTTTGCTTCTCGTAGACATATTAAATAACTTTAATTCACAAATAAAACGATAAATAGCGGAGGAAAATAGAGAATTGACATTCCTGGCAAATGACGTTTGTTTCTTCCGCCAAATAACTCGCATTTCATTGGGTCAAATCAAAATGTCAGTGTAGCCAACAGACCTTAACGAGCGTCAAGTCTCGGTTAGCCAACTTATGGTTGTAAGTTGCTTTATAATACCGACCAGCTCTCAGCCGGCGGTTGAATTTCAACCGGTGGTTGAACAACCTTCGGTCAAGAGCAGCTTTTATAATACCGGCCCTAAGTCGACCAATTTGGCCATGGTGATGGTGACCACCTTTTTTTTCGTCAAATGGGGCCGTTTTTCCTCAACTAGGCGTGGAATCGGCCCAATAATTCGGCAAGATAGAGCCCTGTGACCGTTTTACCGGGTAGTCGATGTAGATCAAATCTTGTGAATCTTGAAAACGGTGGCCATCACCTTTTCGGCCGATAAGATACCCAACTAGCAAAGTAGTGGTATAAGCTTTTGGTAAAAGAACCGTTCAGCCATAAAAGCTCTCTATTGTTGTTGCCTCATCACAAAAATGCTGGCGTAATGTTGTGTGGAATGCAGATTTGCTTTCTGCAACATATTTGCTCTAAAATGAAGTGCTTAAAATATTCTTATAGCATAGCTATACAACACCTTATTGGCCAAATTTTTAACTGTTCCATAAACGTTTATACAACTATTTTATACGACATATTTGCACGTTAGTCAAAATGGCTGTGTTCTGGCATCCATGGTAACGTTTATAAAACAAACCCGAGCCTTGTTGTTTTGCTGTGCAATTTACTACTTTAGCCAACAAATTGCTCCCAACGGAAGCACTTGTACAACTGTTGTTGAGTAACTGTTAAAGGCTGTACATATGCTAAATATGTTGGTAAACAACTTCACCATAACCTAACTTTCTGCTGTCATATTTTTGTAAAATGCTAAAATGCCATAATCAATGTTTTAAGACAAACAAGGCATGCATATTGGTTCAAAAGGTTTTATCAACTGTTCAAACAGAAGATATAGATCTGGTACAAATTCTGGGTAACTCATTCGAATCTGTCGGTATTTCATTTCAGACATTTCTCAAATTGTTGTATAACACCTGCAAGCAAGACCAAAATATTTCAATAATCTAAAGACAACATGGACGATGCCATGATTGTACACAACCACCCGCCATATTGGGCAAACATTTATTCCTCTATTTAATATTAAATAATTATGTTTCAGTTCGAAATTACAGATATAAAGTGATAAACATTAGTGTAATTGTGTCTAAATATACGATTTGTGGAAGATTTAACGCAGATAAGTTCAGTTTTCCATCTTAAATATCTAGACATAGTTTTGACCATTGTCAAAATATGAATTAAATACGAAGCCTGTAGAAATTGGGTAACTAATTTGCACGATAATCACAATAAAATTGTATGAAATTCACAATGGCCGATATGTAAGTAAACAAGATGACTGTAGTTATATATTTTTCACTTCGTGTATACAATAGATAAGAAATAGTTTGGTTGCAATAAAGTAGAATCACGTAACAGAATAGTTGTATAGTTGACAAAAACTGAATCTTCCACTGACGCAAATGTCCTATAGCGGCTGCAAGAGGCTTACACTTTTGTTTTATAACTGTTACCTGCAGCCCTTATTTAACCTCTTAAATGACTGAAGTATCCTATAAGGTGTGCCCATTCCGCTTGTATAGCTGTTCTAAGACGGTTTTGCCAATGTTCTTACAGTATACAATGCTGTTTAAGGAATACTGTATAATCATTCTTGCAACCCTAATAGGAGTGATAAATGTTAGTTGGGTACCCTTCGCCTTCTTCGGAACACGTTCACTGGGTGAAGTCCACTATTTCCATTGTTCCTTGGACTGTGGTGTATACCAGCGGATTCATGTTTCACAAAACGACGCAGAAACTCTTTCGGATTACGCTTGAACAGTGTGAAACACTGGCCTGAAATGGTCTCACGTTTGCGCTTGTTGTCCGCAGTGAGCAAACGCGTCACCCATCGCGCAGACAGCTATCTCATGCACAATATTTCACGGAGGATATGACCTACATGGTCTTTTGCGATGCCTATTATCTCAGCCAGCTTGCGCACCTTCAATCGGAGGTCTGCCAATACGAGATCGTGGATTTTTGTCACGTTATCCTCCGTGGTAGCCGTTTTCGGGGCACTAACACAACTCAGTAAACCCATTTTTTACGGAGGCCATCCAAGGAGAAGAGTCACCGTACACAGCATCAATCACTCTTTGATCACCGACCGATATTGCTCTTTTTCCATTTTTCAAAGCATTAGTAAAATAAACATATGTATGTCGCATACAACTGTGTATAATTTCATTTAAGTTGGCTTACATTGCTTACGACTATACTACAACTATTTAAAATTGTAATGACTCATACGCGTGATCAACACGTGATCAGAGCTCGATCCCGGCTTCCTTCCAGTACAGCCGTATAGCGTACATATGTCGTTTCTGTGGCTTTGCGGTGGTCAACAGCACAGACAGAGATGGAAATAATGGCTGATTGTTCTCCGCCGGTAGAACCAATGAAATCAAAGACGCGCCTCGACCGGCAGACTCATAGGCGTCGGCAACGCATTGGAACGTGTTTCGTTGAGCGATCGCATATTGTGTGTTTTTATAAGAATTGTTGTGTGATTGTTATTGTTGTGGTTTCTGTGGTTACTGTTTTGGTTATACTTAACCATGTAGAGTACAAATGGCACGAGTGGAAGTACTGAAAGCCAGGGAACAAGTAGACGGCTTCGTAAAGCACTGAAGAGGGATGCGAAAGAAATCGTGCTCAACGTGTTCAATTATCTGAACAGAACTATGTCGCAGGGAGATACACTCGCGCGTTGTGAAAGTATGACAGGCGTTCCAGAGTGGGCCATTCGCAGGGTGGTGCATGAAAAGAAGATAACTGGAGCTACTACTGATCCAAAGTTTAATTTGAAGGGACGAAAGGCCGTTAAATTGGATGACGATAGCAAAATGGCGTTAAGGCGAACCGTACATCCATTCTTCTTTAGGAATGAGATACCAACCCTCAAGGCTGTACATGCTGCGATCAAGGAAAATGAAATTATACCCCAAATGAGCGTCGAGGTAATGAGGAAATCCCTGCACGAAATTAATTTTCGTTTCAAAACGCGTAATCGGAAGTCAGTATTGATAGAGAGACCTGAAATAGTCGCCTGGCGTCGAAAATACCTACGCGAAATGATTGAATATAGGCGACAAAGCAGAAAAATCTATTATTTGGACGAGACATGGGTAAATGCAGGTCACACAGTTAAAAAAACCTGGATAAACAAAAACGTAGTGAGTAACCGACAAGCAAGCATTGAAGGTTTGTCAACAGGTCTTCGTGGACCGTCAGGGAAAGGTCAAAGATTGATCGTAACTCATATTGGTAGCGATAGTGGCTTTTTAGAAGAGTGTGACTTGATTTTCGTCTCTAAGAAAGGAGGTGATTACCATGACGAAATGAATGCCAGCTGCTTCGAGAGCTGGTTTCAAGGGGTGCTTCAGCGAGTTGAGCCCAACTCTGTGATCGTCATGGATAATGCTTCCTACCATAGTCGTCGAGCCGAACGTGTACCGACTATGGGATCTCGAAAAAGTGACATGCGGCAATGGTTGCGGGAAAAAGGAATCCCGTTTGACGATTCATGTGTGAAAGCGGAATTGTATGAAAAAATTAAACAGCACAAACCTGCGAACATTAGTTACGTGACTGATGAGATGGCCCGTCAATGTGGTGTCACTGTGCTGCGGTTACCGCCCTACCACTATGAACTGAACCCAATAGAGCTCATCAAGGGTTATATTGCGCGCCATAACACAACCTTCAAATTACCAGACGTTAAGGTTTTACTTGAGACTTCCATACAGCTAGTAACGCCCGAAGCTTGGCAGAATGCTATCCGTCATGTTGTGAAGGAAGAAACAAGAATGTGGCAGCTTGACCACCACATCGACACCATCATAGAGCCAGTTATAGTCAATTTCAACGAGGAAAGCGATAGCGACAGTTTATTACTGTCAGATGTAAGTGGAAGCGACGATGAATAAAGTTAATTCCCAAATTTTTTACTTACAATATGTTTCAAACCACTCTTTATTAAGCATGTGACAAATCTAGTTCACCCATGTTAAACATTCATACCCCGCCTATGAACAGCCGACTACTGGTAGTTAAGTGATGTTCACGTGAACATCGATGAGTCATTACAGTTTTAGATAGTTATAGTATAGGTAGTTCAATGCTTATTCCAAAATTATCAAAGTAGCTCAACACACTGAAAAGGTTGGCGATCGCTGGTCTAGTCAAATTTACCACTTTTTATTTTTGTGTGTCGTTGTTATCAGTGTCTTTTAAATCGTTCCGCTCTGTATCATAATGAGTGGCAACACTTTCCTTTTTGCATTTCCAAATGGGCCAAGGGTAGCTGCAAGGTTGCGATGTTTATCTCAGTCGTGAGAACTGATTGAAAACAGCTTACAGGGGACGCGACAAGTGGCGAAGTAGGTAATGGTGGTGTTAAACATTGGCGTATCCGAAAAAATCTGGGGAGTGTAGGGTTCTGATAAGGGTTTCTTCCTTCTCTAAGCTTGGTAGATCATGAGGAGATGCTACGGTGACTGTCGGTAGTCCTTTCTGAATACGTATTTGCTCTGGATCTTCAGGGTACATACAGTAAGTACAGCAAGCAGAACTAATCAAAGTTCAAAGAATAAAGTAATTTGTACTTACTTTTGAATACTGCTTTCATCGTGGACGATCGAGATTAATGTAAAATTTCGACAAGACGTGTACTCGTAGTTTCTCAAGGACATGTGGAGGTAGAAGCTGTTCCTTATTGCCGTTTGCACCTAAATGGAAACAAATAGGCATATTCAATGCTGGCCATACATTTTTCCCTGATTGATTCCAATGTGTGCAAGAGGGAGAGGGAGAGAAAGGGAGAGTGTGAGAAAGGGAGAGAGAGAGGGAGAGAGAGAGAGAGGGATAGAGAGAGGGAGATAGAGAGAAAGAGAGAGAAAGAGAAAGATAATCGTGCAACACGTACATATGTTATATACTAAGTGACATATAAATCCGAACACCAAGTTTAAATGGTTTTATTTTAATAAAATTTTGATAAGTACTTAATGAAGCATAATAAGTAAATGATAAAAATTTCAAAATGATTGCACTGCTTTAAAGCCCTTTGACCTTTAATAATGTGTGGATGCACCCTGATGTGCTACGCATTCTCCAACGCGCCTAGGCATGCTTCTGATCAGGTGGTCAATGTCCTCCTGTGGTATCTCATTCCAGGCAACCACCAACTCCTCTCGAAGTGCTTCTAGAGTCTGAGGAGGACGTTGCAAATTGAGCAATCTCCTACCCATCATATCCCACACGTGCTCAATTGGGGATAAGTCGGGAGATCTTGGTGGCCATGGTAACAATGTGACATCATTATGTTGAAAGAAGTCTATTGTGACTCTTGCAACATGTGGTCGGGCATTATCTTGTTGGAAAGTTGGATCTGCCAGGGTGTCAAGATAGGGTAAAAGATGGGGTTCTAGAACTTCGTGGATATAACGCTGCGCGTTCATGTTACCTCTGATGAAGATTAAAGGTGACCTGGAACCATAAGCTATAGCACCCCAAACCATAACTCCAACAGTGTGATGAACATGTCTTTCAACAAAAAACTGTGGATTCCTCCTTTCACCACGTCGCCTTCTAACCCTGGCACGACCATCGTGCATGCCTAAACAAAATCGAGACTCGTCACTAAAGACAATACTGTTCCATTCCTGATCCCAGAGTGACCGTTGTCTGCACCACTCAAGGCGATTACGTCGGTGTTCTCGAGTTACAGGGAGGACCCAGTGTGGCCGGTATGAAAACAAGCCAAAACTTCTCGTTCGTCGGTAAACACTTCGCATGCCAATGGGTCTTCCGTGTTCTGTAAACCATTCATTTGCAATGGACCTGGTAGTGGAGAAACGGTCCCTTAAGGCCAATAATCTTAGGCGGCGATCTTCACGGTCTGTTGTTCCACGGCGGCGTCCAGTGCCCCTTGCTCTTTGCGTACGGCCTTCTTGAAGCCTACAGTAAGATAAATACATTCACCAACTTTTATTAAAATAAAACCATTTAAACTGGGTTTATATGTTTATATGTCACTTAGTATATCTTAGAGAGAGTGCGCACTCATTGCTAGGCAGCATGGTTTGGCTCTCTTTCTCTGACATACGATACGTTTCGCACACATTGAAATCGATCAAGGAACCGGTCTATGACAAGCATTGTAGATTGATGAGTTGTTTTATTAATAATTTATAGTTATTGACTTGTCAGCATTATTAGGGGCAGTGGAAACGACACTGATGTAGCGCATTATGTTGTCTGTCATCAGAACTTAACGTAAACACTGATTTTGCCTCGAGAATTTGCGAGAGATAACTTTTTGTGCAAGTATACCTGAGTCAAAACTTTTTGAAGAGCGGGAAGTAGTCAAATTTTTCAAAGGGAAGATTATTTTAAAAATTCCTAAAATTGAACGCAAAAGCATGCTAAATATACAAATTTTAAGGTTCATCCGGATTCTCAGAGGGAGCCACTGCCCCCGCTGGCATCTCCCTGGGGGCTTCCATGAATGAGTATAATCGAATTATGGTTCTTCTGAATGTACATGTCATGTAGCTTCCAAAAAACATAATATCTTGTTTTCGAAAATTTTCGCGACTTCAATAACCTTCTCACCAGCGGCGTGGGAAGTAAAATTTTTAAATATTCTTGCTATCTCGATTTAAACTGGATTGCTGGATAAACTGGGTGAGTAGATCATGAATCTGATACTGTATTTCTAATCATATGACAGCTCTTGTACAGGTAGGCGAAAAATACGAGGGCGGTTCAATGAGTACTCGTGTTTGACGACAGAGGGCGTTCCTGAGAAAAGTTAATGCTATCATCGTATGCTGCCATCTATCAAAGGACGGCACAACAAATTTCGATAGGTTAGTTTGGATTTGGCAGGAACGTTGGGAAAAATATATCTTTCTAAAACAGGAGATTATGTTGAAAAATAAAAATAATTTATTCGGAAAAAATGGTGTTTTCACTTCTAACACGGGTAGTTATTGAACCGCCCTTGTATATCGTACTGAAGTCTTAGAGAAATCAACTACGACCCATTTTCCACATGCTTTGTGCGAGGTCCTTTGAAGTGAGCACGACAAAAATCCTAATTTTTTGGTGATTTTTGATAGGCTGTATTTCGGTGGTAAATGGTCGTATCTAGACTTAAAAATAGCATTTTGACGATTCAAGATTTTAGTTTTAGTTTTTTTTTGGACGAAAATTTTTAGTAGCAACGGTTCAACATTCTTTGCACTATGTTTGCCTTCGTTTTAGTCAACGAGCTTGAAATTTTTTGTCTCTCAGACCATTATACAGGGTGACAGGTAAATAGGTGTAAAACATTTTAGGAGGTGATAGTACAGCTCCTTTGCTATCAAAATTAGTATATAATACCATACCCTATATTCAAAGGTTAAACAGTTATGGAAGATTTTAAAAAAAAAAACAACTCAGGTTACAGAGTAAAATAGTTGAGATAAAAAAAAGTTGGTGATTAAACATTCTTTTTTTGGTGGTTTCAGGTTGTTATTTAAATAAGTAATTCTCATAAATTAAAAAATATATGAAAATGTACAAATAACTGCAAAAACTTCCTCGTTTCATTAGGTTTCTAAAATGGTATAATAACATATCAGTAAGTAAACCATTTAACAAAACAATATTACTTTGCTAGAAAGGACCGCTAAGTGCATTTTATTGTACTGAGCAGGTAAACCGAGCCTTTCATGGTTCGACTCTTTTTGTTATTTTTTGTGCCCTGTGCCGTTATTCGGGTTTAAGTATTCGGAATCTGTCGTCGCTCCTCGGAAGCAAGCTCTGCGTGTGTTATGAATTGACACAGCTGACGGATCAAGGAAAGGGAACTAACGCTTAGGTTAGTTAGTAGAATATCAACCTTTAACCCGGTAGGACGTACTTTTACTTTTTTGATCAGTTTTAATAATGGCGAGTTACCGTAACGAAGAATACGCTGATATTCTGTTTTGTTGGTTTAAGTGATGGAAATTCCGTTGAAGGTAGGCGAGAATACGAAAACCGTTTTCCGAATCGGCGAATACCGAGTCATCGAGTGTTTGCTTCTGTGTACCAACGCGTCAAGGAAAGTGGACAGGTTCATGAGAGACGTCATGATGCTGGTAGACCTTGGTTGTTTGACGACGAAGATCGAGAGGCAATACTGGAATGCTACGGCAGAGACCCGACGACGTCTACACGAGTTATAGCAAAGCAGCTTGGTTTAACTCAGTGGAAAGTTTGGTTCGTTTTGCATTCGGCGAGACTTTACCCTTTCCATTACACACCGGTTCAAGTATTAGAAGAAGGAGATCCCGCAAGAAGAATTGATTTTTGTCGATACATGCTTCATCGGGATCAAGCAGAAAACGACTAGTTAACTAAAATATTGTGGACCGACGAGTCTAAGTTCGTCTGAGAGGGGACAACAAATTATCACAACTTACATTATTGGGCCCCACGAGAGGTAAATCCCCACATGGCAAAGCCAAGAGCCCATCAAAGAAGATTTTCGGCAAACGTGTGGATGGGAATCATTCATACGTATCTAATTGGACCAGTTTTTTTGCCTGACAACCTGAATGGCGAATCCTATGAACATTTTTTAAGATCCGAACTCTGGGAGTATCTCGAAGACCTGCCTCTGAATATGAGGATGCAGATGATCTACCAACACTGTCCCGCGCATTTCCGTCTGGGTGTTAGACAGTGGCTGGACGAGAAATATCCTTGTCGCTGGATTGGCCGAGGTGGACCGACACCGTGGCCAGCGAGGAGCCCAGATTTAACACCATGTGACTATTATTTATGGGGGCACATGAAGTCACTGGTGTACGCTGAGCCCATAGACACTCTTGCACAGTTGAAAGAAAGAATTATTGCTGCTGCTGACACTATCAGAGGACAACTAACTGGCCGCATCACGCGTAGCAACATGAGAAAAAGACTACGGGCTTGCATAAGAAACGGCGGGCGTCAGTTCGAACAACAATTGCAATGAATTTTACCTTCATTTCATTATTGTATTTTACTTACCAATTGTAGTAACTTTTAGTCAGTTTTTATTATTCTGTAGTACAATTACAACTGTGTAAATAATCTAATCGTGTAACTTAACCGTAGTTTAAAATAATAACTATTCCATAGCTTACAGTTACATTATTTTCACAAAAACACTTTCTTATCAATCAAAGAGTTGTGAAAATAGGAGATAAGCCATTGGTAAATTTACTCCCTATTGTTGTATTACAATACATTATGTTTAGTTTCACACAGTTTTTGTGCACTTATCATACCAATTTAGATTCTTTATGAAACAAGGATATTATTTAAATTGTTTGTACGTTTTTTTGTATTATACTGATTTTTCTGTAAAACACCTTACTTACTGTAAAACGTTATATGTTTTTCTTAGTTAAACATTTTTGAATGAAAATAAATACGTTGTTTGGTATTGTTTTCGAATCTTTTTTAATTTATAATAGTTAATTATTGAAATAATAACCCAAAACTACAAAAAACAAATATTTAATCGCCAACTTTTTCTCTCTCGACTTTTTTACTCTGAAATATGGATTTTTTTTAAAAAAATCTTAAATCTCCAATAACTTTTCAACCTTTGAATATAGGGTATGGTATTATATACTAATTTCGATAGCAAAGGGGCTGTACTATCACCTCCTAAAATGTTTTAGACCTATTTACCTGTCACCCTGTATAGACCAGATAGTCCATTTATACAGCTTCAACATCCTTTTTTAGAATTTCGATATCATCATTTGAAATATCTGACTTTGAATGAAAAAGGATTGCTTTTTTAATTGTTTTGAGTAGTGTGTATGTAGTTTGATTCGATCAGAACATGTATCAGGTAACCAAATAAGTTCGTGCGGTTTTTAGTAGAAAAATATAAATTTTTATTGAGAAACAATGACACTATTTATTCGTCGAAGTTTATACCATCACATTCAGTGACCTTTTGCCAACGTGGAACCAATTTTTGTATGCCGGTATTATATAACGTTTCCCAGCCGAGTCCAGAAATTTCTTCTCGGGTCACTTTTACGGTATGAGGCTTGGCGTTATTCTGCAAGAATATCACTTTCTTACGATTGATCGAAAATGGCTGTTCCTGGATGAGTGCTGCTTGTACTCGTTGAATCTGCTCACAATACAAGTTAGCAGTGATGGTTTGATCCCTTTCCAAAAACTCATAATGGACAATTCCAGTTGCTGTCCACCAACACACAACAAAACCTTGTTTGGGTGCAAGGAAGCCTTGGGCGTGTGCGGTACCGAATCGGTAGGCGACAACAAATGATACGAACGCTTAGAATTGGAATCCAAGATCCATTTTTCGTCGCTGGTTAATAACCGATTAAGAAATGGTTCAAAAGCGTTACGTGAAATGTTTGCTGAGACGACTTAATTTGTTATCATTTGTCAGTTCATGTGGGACCGATTTACTTAACTTCCACGTCTTTCCTAGCTGATGAAGATGCAAACGAATACTTTCAGGACTCACTCTGAACAGTTCTGCAGGTTCTTGGCATGTTGTCCTGGAATTTGCATCCACAACCTGTCGAAGATCCTCGTTGTTCATGATGTTTGGTCTCCCTGAGCGCGGTTCATCGTTCAAACTGAGATCTCCCGAAGAAAATTTTTTGAAACAATTCCGTGCTGTTCGATCACTAACGGCATCATCTCCGAATGCAGTACATATTTTTCGCGCCGCCGCTGCAGCATTTGTACTCATACAGTAAACAACTTCGAATTACTGTTTTATTCGTCGCCATTTTCAATTAATAAAACTAGGTATGTAACAATTTACAGCATCTTTTTATGTGTGTGAGAAAAGAAGGATTCATACTAAACTGACAACAAGTAACAAACAATCGCTATCGATCAACAACATCCATGGCAATGTGCGATATACAGCAACCACACGAACTTATTTGGTTACCTGATAGTATCACGAATGTGATGTCAGTTATCCTTTGAGATAAATGAAAGACCCCAAAACATTTTCTTCTCCAATTAGGACTTCACGATATCTTAACGTTTTTTACAGGCATGTTTAAAATCACCGTCCCAAATTACTCTACTGCACCGAGTTTCCTTCATTTGTAATAACGCGCAACATCGTTCGTGTCGTTTCCGTATAATTCACGTCGTATTTTCAAAATTATTTACCTCGCCATTTAAAAAGCAATAAAGCACAGCTACAAAGAATCCCTGAAAGGTACCCAGGAAGTACGCGGAAAACGACCAAACAGCAAACTTCCATGCCTTGTTGAATCTGTAGTAGAAAAACAGCAGGTGGGAGATTCCCATAAGCGGTAACAGGAAGATGGCCGCTCTCACTGCTTTTCTGTAACAGAAAAGGCGACAAGTAACATAGATTAACGCTGTATTTCATGTTCTTGCTCACGAAACAGCATTGATAAATGGTGGGCCCATTTAAAATTTTGAATTCAACGCGGCTATTTTATCTTCTGAATTTATTGAAAAGGTTGAAAAGATTGTTTGGAATTGGATATGGAAAGTATTTTTACGAGCAAACTGGAAAAGATATCACACATTACTATTGCATATTGTAAAATCAGTTTAATATATACAGAGTGTTACAAAACTTCGTACCATAGCAAATGTATATATCTATATCTTGTTGTATATTTGAATAGAGCTTCTAAAAAGTAGAATACGTTAGCCAATGATTTTAGTTAATCACAGAAACAATCTCATTGAACCAACTATTAATCAAATAATGCAGTTGACATATTCAAGCAATTTTACTTGTGAGTTTTACAGATTTCAGTTACGAGTAATTACTGTCTGGTATGGGTACGGAAATATACATAAATTATATTACCTGACCTGCTCAATTTCACTGGTTTGGCTCTCTCGTAATTTCACTATTAATACCCTGATTATATTTAGTAGAAACAACAGGTTCACCTGAAAGAGACATTGTCGAATAAATTCGAATAATGGTTCAAGTACAACCATGCAGAGACGGAATATTGCAAAGAAACACAAATTATTGCATTGTACGTGACCTATGAAGGTACATTTATGGATTACTCCAGTTTTGACCCACATATCAATAATGATTTTTTTAACGCAATGCTCCGGACTATATTAGACTCTCCAAGACTACTCGTAGATGTGGGAGTAAATATACTAAGTGACATATAAATCCGAACACCCAGTTTAAATGGTTTTATTTTACGAAAAATTAGTGAATGTATTTATCTTACTGTAAATAACAAGTGAAAAAATTTGCAGCCTTATCAGTTGGACATTCCGGTTTTTATACTGCTTTTTTTTTAATTCACTAACGCTCTAAAAATGAATATTTCAGCCGCAGTAAAGAATCAGCGTTGGCGGATTTTGGTTAGAGTACGGAGACCTGTACGATTTCGTCAACTTAGTGAGTTTGATAGGGACCGTATAGTGAGACTTCGGGAAGGTGGACTTTCTTTTCGGGCAATTGCAGTTAGAGTGCAAAGAAGTGTAGACACTGTGGTTAGGTGTTGTCAGGCATGGATTCGAGAAGGCCGTACGCAAAGAGCAAGGGGCACTGGACGCCGCCGTAGAACAACAGACCGTGAAGATCGCCGCCTAAGATTATTGGCCTTAAGGGACCGTTTCTCCACTACCAGGTCCATTGCAAATGAATGGTTTGCAGAACACGGAAGACCTATTGGCATGCGAAGTGTTTTTTTCGACGAATGAGAAGTTTTGGCTTGTTTTCATACCGGTCACACTGGGTCCTCCCTTTAACTCGAGAACACCGACGTAATCGCCTTGAGTGGTGCAGACAACGGTCACTCTGGGATCAGGAATGGAACAGTATTGTCTTTAGTGACGAGTCTCGATTTTGTTTAGGCATACACGATGGTCGTGCCAGGGTTAGAAGGCGACGTGGTGAAAGGAGGAATCCACAGTTTTTTGTTGAAAGACATGTTCAACACACTGTTGCAGTTATGGTTTGGGGTGCTATAGCTTATAGTTCCAGGTCACCTTTAATCTTCATCAGAGGTAACATGAACGCGCAGCGTTATATCCACGAAGTTCTAGAACCCCATCTTTTACCCTATCTTGACACCCTGGCAGATCCAACTTTCCAACAAGATAATGCCCGACCACATGTTGCAAGAGTCACAATAGACTTCTTTCAACATAATGATGTCACATTGTTACCATGGCCACCAAGATCTCCCGACTTATCCCCAATTGAGCACGTGTGGGATATGATGGGTAGGAGATTGCTCAATTTGCAACGTCCTCCTCAGACTCTAGAAGGACTTCGAGAGGAGTTGGTGGTTGCCTGGAATGAGATACCACAGGAGGGCATTGATCACCTAGGCGCTTTAAAGCAGTGCAATCATTTTGAAATTTTTATCATTTACTTATTATGCTTCATTAAGTACTTACACAAAATTTTATTAAAATAAAACCATTTAAACTGGGTGTTCGGTTTTATATGTCACTTAGTATACTATGACGCAAACATTTTTAATATCCTTCCTCAGTTCTGTAGAAATCTTGATGACAGAACTTTTGAAAAGACGGTAAAAACGTACCTACTAATTAAAAGTTTTGATAGCTTACATCAGTTTTTAGAAAATGACTTTAGTCACATGCCATAAGTGATAATTCATTTCGATGTTCAGTGTGATATAAAGTTATTGATCTTAGACTGTCCATTACTTATTCTTTTATCTGTAATTTTATCTTTATTTACTAATTTGAATTCTCTTTGCTTCATAACTTAATCTTTTAAATTTTTTGATTTGAATTCTTGATCATTCTTAACAAGCACGAGTGCAGTATTGGATGCACAAAAACAGTTTCCCTCTAAACTTTGAGTGGACTGGTAGAGAATTGCAAAACCTTAGTTTCTACGAGTTTCCAACTAGTTGTTAGAACAAATCGCTATATGAATGTAAACGAGAAAAGGATGAATAAAAAGTAAAAAGGTTTTAGGAACTCACCACAATGACTGTTGACCTCGGTCCTTCCAGTATCCAATAATAGTCGAGAAAGTAGTAATATTCCCATGTTCTAGAACAAAGAACATTCGAAAGTTATTCAATAAAATGTTCACCGGGAGTTTTGAGAGTATTCGCAAGTCAAACGATTCGATGGTGGCCTATTTTTGGGGATGCTATATTCAATCTACATGTTTTACTTCTCGCGCTAATTGGGGAGGATTTCGGAAACGAGATATGATATAAGGATATTACACGACATCTGTATAATGTATATCGTATTTTTCGTTTCCGCTGGTCTGACTGTCTGTAGCTCCAAAAGTAAAGCTTGGATTTTGATCAGATTTTCAAAAAAACACAAAAACAAGCAAAATTAAAATTGTCCTAACTCCTGTTCACTTTTAGGAGGACCTTAGAGTAGCGACGGTTGCAGATTGGGGGCTGCAAGTAGTGAGTAGTAGTCATAGGAACATATTTGGTATTGGTAAAAGACGTTAACATTAAAAGTTTCTGATCCCGGGAATGCTGAGCATCTGTTAAACATTTAACTAACGGGACAGTGATTACTGGACTGCTTTTGTGACGGTTTTAGATACAATTCCTATAACAAAAATACATACAGGGTGTCCTGAAAGTTGGGACTTTCCTTTTCAGCAACACCTACGTTTGAAATAACATAGTTAATTTGCGGCAAAACAACACCGAAAACGTGAAAAAGAGATTGAAAGAATACTAATTATTTATTCGGTACGACATTTCAAGTATTGCACATGTTTTGTTGCTAACTGCTGCTTGAGGTTGTTGTAAATTTGGAATATTAGTGTCGTGAAAACATATTGGTGGTTTTGAATGCTGCTGTCATATTTTGTTGTTTACTTCAAAAACAGAGAGATGTATGCATATAGTATTGGTGGCAGAACACTTGACAGATCTAATACAATTAACGACTTGGGAGTCTCTCCCTGCAGACATTCGTCAGAAAATTTCTGGCAAAAGAGCTGCAATTAAGCAAGCGAAGAGGTCTTGTCACCCAGATGACATTCACAGAGCAACGAATCTTGTTCATGAAGTGAGAAATGCTCTTCATGAATTCAGTAATGAGCAATGGAGCGACTTTCTGTCGGGGATGTTTGACTCAAGTATTCCTCTCTGGAAAGTTGCAAAGTCGCTCAGAAACGGAAAGCGAGAACAACTCCCGCACATCCACAGTCCTAGGGGCATAGTCTGTAGGACAGAGGAAAAGGTCGAGGTTTTCGCTGATGCAATGGAAAGTCAGTTCTCTCCCAACTATGACCTTGATAATGACCTCGACGAGGAGCAACATATTGTAAGATCCGTCAGAAGATGTTTTAGGGCCAACGGCGTCAGTGGCAGTAGTGCCTCCCTTAGTGATTTTTCCTCAGAGGAATCTTCAGAAGATTCCTCAATTGAAGAGCTGCACGGCACATCAGCGGAATCTCCTGAGACTCCGCATTGCACACCAGCAGAGCTCCAAGGTCATATTAAAGACCTCAAGGTGCGTAAAGCACCTGGAGAGGATCGAATCACTAATAAGGCGCTGAAGCTACTTTCGCGGAAGTCCTTAACTTATCTCGTGGCAATAATCAATGCCATGCTTAGGACCCAGTACTTCCCAACGGCGTGGAAGACCGCTGATGTCATAATGATTCCAAAGAAGGTGGGTTCGATATTCCCCCAGGATTACCGCCCCATTAGTCTACTGTTAGCTCCTTCTAAGCTCGCTGAAAAGGTGATTCTACGTCACCTTGAAAATTTCTCGGCAGACCACAATGTGATTCCTGACGTACAATTTGGCTTTCGGTCTGAGCATAGTACGGAGCTACAGGCCATAAGGCTTGTTGAACGAGTAACCAGCGGGTACACCCGTAACGAAAGTACTGGCATCTTGCTACTGGATGTCTCAAAGGCATTTGACAAGGTGTGGCACAAGGGCCTTCACTACAAATTGATCCATAAGGGCTTCCCCTTCTGGCTCCTAAAACTTTTGAAATCCTTTCTCGCGGGTAGGAAATTTCGGATCAAAATTAATAACGTTCTGTCGACAACGCGGCCCATTAAAGCCGGTGTCAATCAGAGTTCGGTTCTTGGACCAGTCATTCATTCACTTTTTATTCATGACGTCCCTTGCCCCAGCACCTGTGAAACCTATCTCTATGCTGATGGCACTGCCCTGGTGGCCCAGTCGTGCTCTGGGGATCTAGTTCACGACAGGCTGCAAAGTGCAGTGGATGAGGTATTGGAATGGGCGAATCGGTGGCTGATCAAAATTAATCATTCGAAAACGCAGGCAATCTATTGTGCTAAAAAACGTAGCGGCGCCCCGTCTGAGGTTTCAGTGAATGGAGCTCGGGTACCATGGGAAAGCTCTGCTAAGTATCTCGGTGTCACTCTTGACAAGGGGATACCTGGCAGAAGCACACTGAAGCGTTAAAAACTAAATTCCAAATCTCGTTTCGGCAACTCTACCCTATGCTATGTATGAAAATTAAGTTTGATCAAGAAAGTTCAAGAAAGTTCCGCTATACAAGATGAAACGCATTCGCGTAGCCTGCAGATTTTGCAGAACAGAACCTTGGGTACAATCACAAACGCCCCATAGTATGTTTCTAACGAGACCCTTCACAGAGATCTTGACATCCCTTACCTAAGGGACTACATCAAACAACAAGCACAGCTACGTTACAGTCAGACAGAATCGCATAACAGCCCTTTGTTGCACGAGTCAGTAGACTACACAGTCGAGCAAGGTCGCAAGCACACAAGGCCGCGACTCGCACTGTGAACAAAATTAAATCGTGTGACTTTAGGTCCAACCAAAATAATAATTTTTCTTCAACAACCAATCCCAAAATTAATTTTAGGATCAATTTAAAATTGCCGAATACTAACTAGCAATGCCAAGGCACCTCTCAAATTGATGCACTTCTTTTTTCTTTGCTCTCCCTCCTTCCTTCCCTTCTTTCTTCTTCCCTTCTTTCTCCCTGACTTTGTTTGGTATCTGGACAACCAGACCTGACAGACCTACTGACTTACAAGACTTCAACCAAGAGCAAAGGTCCTACGGACCGCTCTGACAGACAATGACGAATAGTGACTTAGGAGTCACATTTGACAGAAAACTTTCCTCCTCCTATGACATTGAAGATGTTGTGACTCGATCAAAGGCTTATTTAAGAAACATTGGTAATTTCCATAACTCTTTTACACTGAAAATACTGTACTATCTTAGTAAGATCTAAGATTGAATTTGTATCCCTGGTCTAGTATCCGTTTAGAGTCGATTCAAAGAAAGTTATTAAAATATTTTTTATACAAAGCTGATAGGATATACCTTGACCTTGGCTTTCCTCATAGTGAGTTGATGGTGATACATAACATCTGTAGCTTATAGAGCAGATGCAAATAGAATTCAGTATCAGTTTCTCCACAAGCTTATCCAGGGTCATCTTAGAACAATTTATCTTCTTTGTTCGTTTTAGATATATTTTCGGTTTGTTCCACTTTGGGAGACATCAATACTTCGCTTTCATAAATGTCCCCGGTTTGATTGTTGAGCGCTGGTTAGGTAAAGCTAGAATGTTTTTCCTTTCAGAATACTATTTTGAGGTTTTTTAGCGTTCCAGCTTTCTCTACAACAATCCTCCACTTATGTGCGTTATTTTTTATTTTCGTGTTTACCCATCCTGTAACTATCTTTGGCTGTTGGATGTTGCTAGATAAATAAATATTTGGGGCTGTCTAGGTCTTCTACTGTGAACACCTAGACAATTTTGCACGATATACTCAAACGTATCCACCTGTGATGGAAATATCGAGGATGACGACAACTTTCTGAATACTCGAATTGATGCGCGGAATATCAACAGGATCTTGAAGATGCTCACAGTAAACTAACATGAAATCGATAATCACGGTATTGTCGTAGGAATGTGACAATCTCGCTTTTCAAACGCGGTTTCTTTATAAACTAGGTTAACCGACACATCGCGCGGCGCCTGATTTAGATACTGACTAACATAGTTATAGTACCACAAAACATTATATTCTTTGACGTAGGAGGGGATAGAGGCTGGGTCAGAATGGCTCATTTAGAGTTTTTAGGAGCTTAATATCTCAGTAATCTTAAATACTTGTGCATATATGTTACTCTGTGAAATCAGTCAGTCAGTCGTTCCTACAATTTTGTAGGATGCCTTTATGGCCTCCTTGATTTTGATAGTCTTTTCTCTCCTTCAGAAAAGCTGGGGTATTTTTAACTTTTAGTATTCCGTGTCAGCGTCAGCGCTCTCCTATTGTGAGGGTTTTTTTTCTTTTTGAATTGAAGGACATTTCAGACTATATAACAGTTGATATGAATAAAAAGTATAAACAACTTGACGCAAATAGATATTTGTAACATAACCTCGAAATAGGGCGCTACAATAATGGGAACGACTGACGATACGGCTCTAAGTGACGACCGTAGAGTAGCTTGAACAGTTCGCAACACTTAAGCAACAAACTAACAAATCTGAGAGCCAAGTAAAAAAAACTGCTGTCAATCTTACAAAGCTATCCCATCGTTACTTCAATTTAGCATAAAAGTACTGTTGGACCGGCTCACGTCGGTTGAGCGCGCTCAATGTTCTTGAGAGATAATAGCTTATAGCTATTTATGTTACAAGTCACTTATTTTGTGCTACACGTGTTATTGACGTATGAGTTCATAAAATGAATATGAGTAGTTCGATCTCCATTGATTAGATTATTATATTAGGAACTCAGCACGCAACTGTGGAAGATAAAAATTGCATGGAACAGTGCCGGATCTAGGATTACTTTAGGTGAAGCTAAAGGTTCGATTTGCACCTAATCCTATCATAACAATCGTTTTGGCAAAATACAGATATTCCAGCAAACAGCGTCCCAGAGTACCTGAGTATACCAACTTTCGGTCGTTTTGTAGCCATGGAAAATGGAACTTTTATACGGCAAAGCGGTACTTTTCAAAAAATTCACCTGTGCCTATGATTTTAATAAAAATATATTTCTCGGTCATTAGGGCCCGTAGAC